AATGCTTCAACTATAGAACCAAGATCAACTAGACTAACTGTAATTGTGCGGTATTTTGGCATGAGTATTAGTTACGCGCGTCAGATTCAGAAATGCGATACTCGTTATAATGCTAATTATCCCCAAATTTTATTATTACGTATATAGTCACATGGTGCCGATCTTATCTGGATCGTCAATTAAGTAGTTTTTTTTTAATAACAACAATAATCATAATCATCCATAATATATTGCTGGGATCGAATTTACAGAAATGCTCATTACTTTTGAAGAACCGGACAGAATGACTGCGCGCATAATGGAGATAACATGGTCAGGTGTATTTCTGAAAATATCAGTTGAATAAATTTTATTTTATAAACATTTAAAAAGAATATCTGGATTTAATATAAAAACAATATTTTTCTAATATAAAGAGATTTTATTTATTAAGAACGTAGTAAATTGAGTTAATGAAAAGTAAACGTTTTTATGGTTTATAAATGTTCATCCTTTTATCTTTATCATTCTTATAGGTGATGTATTAAAAGATGAAGACATTGTATTTTAGAATTAAGGTAAGAAAAATTTTGAATTTAAACGCAGAAAAGTAGTTAGTGCTTACAGTAATTGGGAATTATTATTATTATTATTAAAAAAAAATTGTACAACATTGAATACTTTCGTTTTAATTTTACAACATTGCTAACAAACTTCAAAAGAAAAAAATTTTATTTAGTAAACTCTGATTAGATTAAGCAGCATATATTATGATGTACCGTTCAAGTTTTTAAAATTTGTGCAGCAATTCGATTGAAATCCAATAATGAAAAATTTATTTTGGTCAAGCATTATGTCAATAGTTTCAGAGTTAAATATTATTATTTTACAGAGAAAAAAAATTTTTTTTTTTTTTGCGCTTCAATATTTAATATATATAAATAACGGCGTTTTTTTTTTTGTTTTTAAAAAAAAAATAAATCAAATTCACTTTTATAAATCAAGAACTTTTTTGACGATGATTTCAACAATTTATTGGATATTTTAAGTATCCACAAGTATCTCACTCATCTTCTTAACCCGATTCCATGGTCCAATTTCATTACTGTTTATAGGGAATCTATATCAATATCCCAGAGACAAGTCAGCATTCTCCGAAATGTCAAATAAAAATATGAAAGATTCTAAATTGGACATCCAAGCGATATCGGATTTGGCAGAGTGGATTGGATTAAACTAATATACTAAACTTTATCACCAATAAAAGTAATTATAAATTGTAATTATTTAAAAAAATGCTTAGTTTTAGAAAATACTCTTTACATGTAAATAGTCAGTTATGATCGAATTCTTAACAAAAAAAAAAAAGGGGATCTGCATAAAATTAAAATCTATTTTTTTTTTTTACGACTTTTTCATGACACGACTAAATAGAAAATTTATTAAATACACTAATAGTTAACTTGTGCTATAAAGTGTTTGAAAACCAATAAACCATACGGTTAATTCATATATGGGAAGTTTTCTAGGAAAATCAGGCTCCGAGAATATTTTTTGACTAAATTGAGAGAGATATATAATCTAATAACATCAAAAACTAAAATGCAATAATTCCCAGAGCCTGATTTTCCTAGCAAACTTCCTATATTTGCTTAAGGTACCGTTTCATAATGTTTTCAAGTATTTTGAAAAGAATAAATTCGACAAACTCTGAAATATTAGTGCCATATATAGTTAGTATTTTGTTTAATAACATATTGTGTTCGATGACATGAAACATCAATTCTATGGATTGTGGAATTATTTATATTATTTACCTGACTTGCTCAAGCTTTTTTCAGTATTCATTTTACTTGTGAGGTAATTTTAAATTAATAATGTAAAGAAGTACTGTATTTA